GCCCCATCACTAAACAGCTGTATGGCCTTAGGCAAGTGCCTTGACTTCGCTGAACTAGTACTTGTCTACAAAATGGGGTTAAAGCTGGAGGTTGAAATGCAGGAATGGGTGGTCACCCTCCCTCCCCCAGAGCAGTTGGGCTTCTTAGACACATCCCATTAGGGCTGGCTACACCGTTGCCCTGCCTTCCCACTCCTTGCCTTCTGCGGGTAGGAGCTGTGTGTGAACACCTGGTCATCTCTCACAGAACAGCAGGGAGCTTAGTGTATTGAAGGATATTATTTTATAGTCACAAGAATAATACTTAACCCCAAGAAATGGACACAAACGGAGAAAGCTTGAGCACATGGCAGGTAGGGAGGGGCATGTGTGTGTGTGTCTGTGTGTCTCTGTGTGTGTGTCTGTGTGTCTGTGTGTGTGTGTGTGTGTGTGTGTGTGTGTCTGTGTGTGTGTGTCTGTGTGTCTCTGTGTGTGTGTGTCTGTGTGTGTGTCGAGCCATTTTTAAAGCATGCCTTGTCTTCCTGTTGCCCCTCAAGTTGCCCCACAGGCACCTACCTATGCGCCCAGTGAGCCCCGTCTCCTATGACGGGTGCCCATTTATTCGACACCCCTTTTCATTAAAAAATAATACACACTGAACGCCTACTACATGCAAAGTCCAGTATAACTTGATTCCACTGTCCAATCCTTCAGCTAGACCCAAACTCACAGACTACCAAGCTCAAAGGGCTTCTAGAGAATCATGAGTCCACCTAGAGCCCTGAGCCTCCAACCGAAAGAGTCTGGAAACCATTGGTTCTCACTGAAGCCCCTCCGTTTACAGAGAAACACTCCGCGTGGGAAAACTCATAGGTGGCTGAAGTCCCCGGATGCCATTTCTGCTGTCTCTGACCCAGCAAAGGAAGCATGTCGTGTTCAGCAGTCACAACTGAGAGTTGTTTGCATCCTTCATCCTCTCCTTGTAGCTCCATGAGGTCTGTGTTTAGTTCGTCCTCGGTGGAAACAGGAAAGTAAAAATCTGTTTCCCCTACCAACTTTACCACTTTTGGAAAATCCCTATGGCCTATTAAAACAGAGGAGGGCATGAGGCACAGAGTCGGCATGTCTGACAGGACCGTAACCTCTGTTCTTGGTTACCCCAGGCTGCCCCTTGAGGCTGCCATCTTGTCCCAGTACCTAGGCTCACTGCTGCCTGGGCTTCCCTCCAGTAACAGCTGGATTCTGGGGAGCTGCGCAAACCTCCCCAGGGCCCTGAAGTGAAGCTGGCTCCACAGCCTCATTGCTGACTCTGACGCCCAGCTACGGGGAGCGTGGGACAGAGGGCAGGGGACACATTATCTTTGGTTACATCTCTTCCGGTCCTCATTCTGCCCTGTGAGGTGGGCTGGGCAGTCCTATTTGACCAGTTGGAAATGAAGACCTGGAACCCTTGAGTGACTGTTTTTCTCAAGGACATCCAGAATCAGTGCTGAAACAGATTCAAATCTAGACTTCCTGGTTTAGTGTTCTCGCAGCCACATTGTCCTCTCTCATCTGAAAGACAGCTTCAAGTGCCTGCCTTTGATACGGGCAGTTAGGTAAAGGTATCTTCGAAGGAGGAGGATGGTAGCTGTAATAACAATGGCTACCCTGCAAGGGATTCTTTGCTGACCTCTGAGGAGTTCTTGTTTACAATTAAAGCCTGCCTACATTGTAGACATAAATTATCTTCTTATCTATATCTTCCAGCTTAAGTGTGACATCTCCCACTAAATATTCCCCATCTCCAAGCTCTGATAGCACTTTTATTTATACCAGACCTCACTATTAAAATAGTTCAGCTGGTTTAAGAATGCAAATAATACACCAGATTTAAACAGATAAAGAAGTCAATGTAAAGAGAAAATAAAAATAAGGAGGTAAAATTCTTCCAGGGACAAAGTTAACACAAAGAAATATATATTTACAAAGTCCCACACAAGTAGCTTAAGACAGACTAGAAAAGCAGCTCTGTATAACGACAGCATTTCCTTCACACTGTTCACTGGATGCTTACCGTACACTGTCTGACGATGTCCCTTCTGCTGTGGACTTACATTGTTTGACCTCTTCACATGTATTTACCTTGCACAACCAAATGAAGGGCATGCAAAGGATGCTTTTCGGTCCCTCAAAGCACCCACCAGCGCTAGGGCTATGGTGGGGGCTCAGTAGGTGCGGCTAACATTCAACAGAAGGCTACTATCCCTTCATCACCATCTCCTCACGAACTTGACAACGGTGCGTGGGAGTGGGGCTGAAGCAAGTCTCCTGGAATAAGCCAGAAAAGTAAGGTTGCACTCTCCCTAACCTAGAAGACTTAGTTGTACCCCAGGGTCTACGAACCTTTGCCTTAAGGAACTCTGTCCTAGTGCTGGTTCAGACTTCCGCCTCTGAGGTCTGGCACAGGAGCTTTTATTACTGGTGGAAACAAATGTCTTTTCCTTGAAAGCCTGACTATTTTATCCCCAGTAAACCAAATGAGATCATGTACGTGAAAGTACTTTGTAAACTATAAAGTGCAAAAAAAGTAAGGCATTAAGTACTTAATTAGAAGAACACTCACTAAATGAGTTACTGCTACCTTCTCTTGACCCTTCCTGGCAAAAACAATTTGGCTTACTTTCAAGGATCAAGGAGAGAAACAGAAAGCAAGAATACAGGTGAACAGGCACTTCCTTACTCTGACCACCTCTGTATCTTGGCCTGCTGCCTCCTGAAAGACTCTAAACAATGTCTCCACCTTCCCACTTCCTGCTTATGGAACTCACAAGACAGAGGCTTTATTTAGATAGCAAAAGTTGAAGACTCAGACATGGTGTTTTTAAACTTCATTTGTACATATCTGAAGCCAGAAGGAGAGGTTCTCCCTGGGGTGGGTCAGTCACCCTGTGTCCTTGGCTTAGCAGACACCGACGGAGGGCTCTTGCCCATCCCCGCACTAGCCTAATCAGTACTCATCACCCCAGGAGCGCAGCCTTGCAGGCCCAGCTAAGTGCAGTGAAGTTCTGGAGGGTGGTTACACTCTCTGCTGACATCAGGCAGGACAGAGGGCCCCTCACCCCCATCCTCATCTCAAAATTCTATGGCTACTGAAATCAAACTGCCAATCACAATGCTGATTAGTCATAGAGTGTCAGACTCTGCAGACATCCATCGTGGGGGAGGAGGAGGAAATGCCAGGATATATACGGAGGCTGTAAAGGTGACAGGAAGGGAGTATATGGCTAGGACTATGGCCAAAGTGAAAGTGCCTGCTCCTTCCACTCCCATTTCAGCTTGCTTTCTTGGGACGCACAACCAGGAGCCCTCTCCAACAGGGGCGTCTCCAGCCCTCGTCTCTGGGAACAAAGAGGCAAGCCTGGACAACGGTCTCTAGCAAAGGCTTTCACAATGTTTCAATCCTTGTCTGTCCTTCCAGAAAACATCAGTAGCCCTCTTTGCCTTCAGCTGTCAAAGGGAAACCAGGAAACCAGGGCAGCGATGCCCCTGACAGACTTAGTACAAATACCTAAGCTAAGTGGCACTTCTGTCCCCTGGTCCGAGCCTGCCAATGGATGCTTTCCTCAGAGCGTAGAGGCCACCAGCTCAACATACTGCTTTCTGAGGGGAGGAGCCTGCTCCTTCCCTGGCTCCTACCTCTGCTCCTGGATCACCGTTCAGAATCTCCCCCACAGAAACCCAGCCTTTTGCTCTGAGGAACCCCATGGGGAGGGGCCAGGAAGCCACTTCCAGCTGGAACCCTCTGGGTATAGCTGGGCAGGGATACACTGCCCACTTTAAAGGGCCCTTCTCTTCCATTCCACCAACTCACACCCACAGCTCCTGACCAAAGGCGAATTCCTGAACTCCCCAATAGAAGCTGCTGTGGACTGGGACAGAGAACTTTGCTCATTTCAGCCCTAACGACAGCAACACTATAGGATCTCTCGTTCCAGAGGGCACCTGGTAGCCTCAGACTTTCAGACCCACAGGGCTGAAAGGGAGGCATTTCCATAAGGTTAAGAGGCAGAAAGTGAGAGAGGAATTCCAGGCTAGACGCTGAAGACAGCAGGAGAGGGAAGGTGCTGAGGCTGAGGGTGAGGTGACAGAAATGGGGTCTGCAGTCACAACAGGATGTTTGGTGAGGACATCCCAGGAAAGTTCCAGCACCTTACAGACTGCTGGTTATGGGGCCAGACCATCTGGATGTACAGCACAGAACAAAGGGCAATGAGGAAGGTCAGGATGCAGCACCCCTGCCTGCTGATGAAAAGCAAGTGACAAGCAGGTGCTTCCTTGGAAGAAAGATGAAAAACAAGAGGCCCCACCCATGCTGAGGAAGACAGACCTAGAAACAAAACTGTCCTCATCCGAAGAGCAGCCTTACTGAGCCTACCCGGTGCAGCTGCCCCGAAGGAGGACGAAAAGTGGGGTACTTTAGGTTGAGTGGAAAGGTAGGGCGCTCAGGCCAAAGATGCACAGTGTGTGGGTTTGACATCCTTCATGGATCCCAGGGCTGACTGAGAGCCAGTAGGCACTTGGATTCTCTGCTGCCACTTCATGGAAAGGGAAACTGAGGCCCAACAAAGAGGGAGGGAGAAATCACAGGTGCACCTCTGCCTGCAGGAGAGCTGGGCTGAATCCTAAGACTCTACCCCAACAAGCGACCGTGCCCCGTGCCACATGGGCTGTGGGAGCTTCCTGGACCCTCCCCACCTACCCAGGGGGCCGGGCTGCTCCTTTAAGCCATCAGCCCCTCAGGAATGTGAGAGTGACATCTTTCACAATGGGATGACTTCCTGGAGCACCTCAGAAGTGAACTAGAGGCGTGAGCCTTTTCTACGAGTTTAACTGCTGGAAGGTCATGGCAGTGGTGCCTCTCTGGAATGTGGTCTTGTCACTGCCCACTTCCAAACAAGGATTCCAGGGCATTCTGGAGTCTTTGCAGAAAACCTGCCACCACGGCCGCCACCTCAGGGCAGCCTCTGCCACACCGAGCACTAGCACTCCTGCTCCTGTACGAGCCCCTCTCTGCTGGCGCAGCTGTTCGTGGGCTGCATGAGCCTGCGGGGTGAACCCACAGTATAGTCCTTCTGGACCCCCGCTGGTTCCCTGTGGGGTTGAGTCGGTGGCTTCTGGGTCACAGACTTCTCCGTACCAAGTGCTCCCATCGTCTGATTCCTGAGCCCAGCACCTCAGGCAGGAGGAGAGAAAATCCACGATCAGACAGAGGGGACAACAGATTAACCGATAACCCCCCTCCCACTTCCAGATTACCCCAGCGTACATCTGGTGAAACAGACATGGCAGAACAGACTGGAGATAGGACCAGGACTGTGCTCTGCAGCCCCATCTATTCTTGCTTTTCACCCCAGAACAGTGGTTCTCAATAGGGAGTGGAGAGTGATTCTGTCCCCAGGGGACATTTGACAATGGAGACACTTTTGATTACCACAACTGGGAAGCTGCTCCTGATATCTATTGGGTACCTAGTGGGTAGAGGTCAGGAAACTGCTCAGCATCCTACAATGCACAGGACAGCCCCCACTACAAAGAATGATGCGGCCCAACGTCAGTAGTGCTGAGGCCGAGAAACCCTGTCCAGAAGGAGGGTTCACTGCATACAATCTGTGGTGTTCTCTACTTGTTTCATATATTCTAGTCCCACTACCCCCACGAAAAAAAACACCTGCAAAAGGGCACAACTGATATCATCTTCTCCTCCTTCCACAGGGCGAGACACTGAGAACAATCACACGACAAACACCTGGTGAGGGACTCACCGAACCTCCAGCTCGGCTGTTGCCTCTTCTCCTCTCTGCACTCTACCCCAGCTGCTCCACCCACTGCCCTGCTCTGGCGCCAGGGCCACCCCACTCCCCACGGCACCTCTGCTAGCCCTGAGACCCAGACCCACTGCTGATGACCACAGACTCAGAGGTGAAGTACAGCTGGAAGCCACAGGAAGGAGGCCAGCTACAAAAATGAGCCAAAAGAGAAAAATCACTGCTCTGTCACAGTTCAGGAAAACACAAAGTGGCTTCGGAAGCTCAATAATGCTTGTGTTTTCTTCAGTTTTCAGTGTTTCCGTAACTTGTCCTCTCTTGTAACTTTCCCCTGAAGTCTAATCAGGCTGTTTTCCTCTCTGAGCATCAATAGGATTAGCTTGTTCTCAACCTGGTCCATGCTCTTCCTCTGCCTGAAACGCCATAACCTTCACCCCCGTGTATCACATTCTCCCTGACCTGCTCTGCCTCCTCCTGACCTGCTCTGATCTCCTTCTGACCTGCTCCAACCTCTCCTTGACCTGCTCTGACTGCCTCCTGACCTGATCGGACCTCCTCCTGACCTGCTCTGACTTCTTGACCTGCTCTGACCTCCTCTTAACCGGATCTGACCTCTTCCTGACCTGCTCTGACTTCTTGACCTGATCTGACCTTCTCCCTGACCTGCTCTGACCTCCTCCCTCTCAAAAACAACTGCTCGACTTAAGTCCACACAGCCCCACTACTACAGAGTCCACTGGCCGCCCCATCCTCCAGTTATCCTGAATAGTTGTCTTAGTCATACCTAACCCTTAAATTGCTCCAAGCGCTTTACACGTATTAACTCATTTTACAAATGAAAAACCAAAGCACAAATAGCCTGACTTGCTCAAGGACACACAGCAAGTTGGGTGGCAGAGCTAGAATTTGCATCCGGGCAGATTGGCTTAGAAATTCCGGCTCTGAACTCCGAGCCCTGCTGCCTACAGTGGGCATGTCTCATCTCTGCTGGGTCATCGGCTTGTAGGGGAGGAGGCATCCTGTCTCCAGCACCCACTGGCCAGCAAGCAGTTGGGTGCACCACAGAGGATTAGCAGATGCATGACCATGCCTGCTATGCTCGTGGACCCTGGCCTTTATCAGACTTGTGGCACATCACTGTAGTGTTCCTGCGCTCAGGGACCCTGTCAAGTGTGCCTGATGTACTTACCAACGTGAGGGCGAGCGGGCACTTGGGCACAGGTGTAGACATGGCTGAAGCGGCGCCCAGAGGAGGTCAGGTACCAGCGCTGGATGGCTGGCTGTGGGTCATACTCTGTGACTGCCACCCCATTTACAGCTGTCATCATGAGCATGTTGACTACCTCATTGGAGAGCTTGGTCCTCTCGTCTGTCTTGATCCGGGTCATGGCGTGGAATGCACGCTCACAGCAGGATGTGGACACAGGCACACACACGACCACAGCCACCAGCTTGCTCAGCAGGGGGAAGCGGCGGTGCTGGGCAAGTGCATTCTTACACAGCATGGAGAACGGGAGGTTCTTGGCCACGGCCTTCAAACCTAGCCACTCCTCCAGCAGGGCATCCTCACTATACCCCGTGGGAAGTGAGAGTGCAAAATACCTGGCAAGGGTGAGAACATCATCATTCCCAAAGCTGGCAAGTTCGATCCCATCTGGCCAGGCCATGGTATCGAACACCTCCATGTTCTTGAGCTGCGGGGGGCGGTCTGCATCGAACCTCTGCTGCAGGTACTCAATCCCGGTCAGAACCACTCTCTCCCTGTCTGCCTGGAACCGCTGCTCTGCCATCTCCATCCTGTCCAGCGGGATGCCATGCAGCCGCCCGTCCTGGAAGCTGGCATTAAATTCCTCCTCCTTGGGCCCTGCCTGGCGCAGGAGGGTCTCCAGGGCCACGTAGGCCCGTGCCAGCGTGGCGTTCACCTCCGTGATCAGTACAACTGCTTTCTGGCATACCTCAGACAAAGGCCTATAGATGCTCAGGAAGTCCAGGAGGAAGTGGCAGAACTTGACGAGGTGGAAGCTCTTCATCAGCCGTAGCATGCCCTGAGCCCGGTGCCCAACCTGGCCCCCTGCATCTGCCACGCTCTGCAGGTGCCGAGCCAGTGCAGGCCAGCTCACTAGGAGTGCATTCAGCGTCCGCCTCTTGCTGGCCACCCACCTGATAGCATTCAGGTCTTTCAGGCGGAGGATCTCCTGCTCAAGCAGAGCCGCGCCCTCCTGCAATTCTCGCAGCCTTTTGTTTGAGGATTGGTAGAACTTGAAGATGGTCCGGATGTGCCGGTCGCACTTCCTCACCAGGTCGATGCTCCCACAAGCATCGACTACAGCCAGGTGGAGCTGGTGGGCCACACAGTGCACAGGCAACAGCTGGGGGATGACCTCTTGGAACTTCTCCACAAGGCCTCCTTTGCAGCTCAGCATGGCTGAGCCATCGGTTCCCAGGCCCACCACCCAACCAGGCTTCCGGAAAGGGATGTCCAGTTCATCCAGGGCAGAAATGATGGTTTCGAAATACCCATCAACTGTCTCGCTGTACAGAGGGGCCAAAGTGATGTAAGACTCTTTCACCTCCATCTCCTTAAAGTACCGGATATAAATCCCCACACATGGCTGGTCAGAGGAGTCCATGGAGCTGTCCAGCAACATGCTCACACAAGGGGAGTCTCGGATATCATCGAGGATCTCCTTCTTCAGGGTCTCAGAGATGTACCTGATGAACTGGGTGCACGCAGTGCGATTTCGATACTTGCCTAAAATCATGGTTCCAGTGCTTTGGAGAAGCTGTAGGATTTTCTCAAAGTCATTCAGTGGCCTTGAGTGGTATGCAATGGAGTAGGCAGCATTGAAAAAGTGCCCCATGTTGGCCACCAGGTCGCTGGAGATCTCTGGGACTAGGGAAGCCTGAGGGGCATCTTCTTTGACCCCCACAGTGCTGATGCAGAGCTTGTGTGCTTTGCTGACCTCATGGTACTTTAAAGTCTCCACTTTGAAAGGCCCAGTGTAACCTTTGACTAATCGGGATGATCTGTCATGGAGATTGGGTCTTGCTTTGCAAGCTGAGCAGAAGAGCTTGGTCTCTTTTGGGTCAATCACTAGCCATGGGAACTGCCCAAACCAAGCTCTCTGAATTGAACGGGGTCTGTATGTCCTCCTCACTGGCTTAGGTCCATCTACTTCTACTTCACAAATGCTGGGTCTGCAGTAGGAGGCACATGTTTCCACAGAAGGAGCTGGAGGCAATGCAGATTCCACAGTCGAGGCTTGTGTGACTACCTCTCTTACTGCTACCATCTTCTTTTTCCCTTTGGAGAAAACCGTGGTTCGTTTTGCTGCCCAGAACTCTGCAGGGCCAGAACGGTCTCCTATCAGCTAAGATACCCAATCAATTCAATAAGTACCCTTTAGCCAAAGCAGAGAACATGAATTTGATCCATCTTTCCAATGATCATTAGAGCTTCTGTTTAAACCCTTCCCCATTATTATCTATGAAAGGCAATCTGGTTCCCCATCCTGATCCTTGTGGGTTCTTTTCTAGCCTCCCCTTCTCTATCCTTACAGCTACCTCAGCAGACACCAGAAGCTAAGTTTAACTAACTACCCATGGCCATAGATGCTATTGGATAAACAGCGGTTCATCCTGGAAAGAAGGGAGGTATAGGAATATATACAGTAGCTACTAACCAGTAAGTTATTGAGATACGCTAAGCAACTACTTCTCACAGACCAATAGTGTTGTCACTAAAAACCCAAGGAGGAGGGCAGAAAGGAGGAGCAGCCACTCACAGACCTGTGGCTCTCCTGCTTCCTCCTAACCACAGTGTCCACCACATGCCACTCTCGTCAGCTTTGCCAGAGCCCCTGTGGCACTTCTGCTTATCAGAGGATCTTATTGTTTCTATACTGTCCCAGCTTCCAGGCTACTCTGCACTCAGACGGTAGGGTTAGTGTCTTAGTCATCGCTGTATACCTAGGGCCTAGTACAGGGCCTGGCACACAACAGGTGCAGGCTATGCATAGCGGAACCTATGCTGTGTGAGCTTCCATAGTGACATGGGGCCCCTGCATATGACTTTCAGAACTCAGTAGGGCCAGACTCACCTGGAGGATGACCTTTCCCCCACTTGGGCCCTCTGGGGTCCTTGATCCAGGGCGCAGCTCTACGTTCCAGCTTGGAGATCAAGTCTGGCTTGGCAGCAGCAGGCCCTATAACAAGAGTGGAAAGTTGCACTGATGTAACTGCTGGGAACCGCCAAGTCAAGCAGCCCACCTCACACTCTACACGGTACCTACAACACTCAGGAATGGCCCCTGGGCTCTACCTCTTTATGAAATCTATTCACTCAGGGCAGGCTGGAAGCATACCCATCTAGGTGCCAACTTGTTCTTCAAACCCGAAGAGGCAGTCAGATTGAAGTGTATCCCCTCGCCAGGATGAACAGCATGCTTAGCTCCACGTGCCAGCCATGGGAGCCCCGAGCCAGCTAAACACGTTTAGAGGAGAAGAGGGAAATAGAAGAAACACAGACGGTAAAACAGAAGAGGAAAGACGACAGGGATGACAAAGCCATACCAAAAGGAGAAGAGAGCCCGTGCAACTGTCCATGAGCTCACCCCTCACAGCACCGCAGTGGCCCTCCATGTAGGGGGCTCCCTACACAGCTGCTTAATACTATCTGCCACCTGCAGTGAAACCTGAGGTCTGACTGTCTTCGGGTGAAGCACTGCCCTTTATTTAAAATATGGGTATTCTTAGAGATGCACAAAAAAAATTGCATCCTTCATTGAAAACAAAATCCACTGACATCTACTTAGATGCTTTTGCATGTGTCTGTCTGTATAAACTTGCTTTGGAAGATACACAAGCAGCTGGTCTCTGGGGGGGCTTCTGGGGAGGAACCAGAAGTCAAGCTAAAAGGGAGACAACTTTTCACTATATACCTTTTGTACCATTCAAATATATTTACGTGTGTGTGTGCATACACATCCACAGATTTACTAATAAAGATAGATCTAAATAATTATTAAAGTATGGTAGATTGAACACATATGCTTCCTAAGACATTTCCTTCCTCTAAAATGACAGCAAAGGAATAATAATAATAAAAAGAAGCATAAGCCCAAAAGAAATACTGGGCTAGAAATGTTAACATGTTTTTGGAAGAAAGAAAAAGAGATAAAAAGAGAGAGTAGAGCTAACTGAGCTGAACACCAAATGCCTGCAGAGGGGGATAACACGGAGAATTAAGTTAAGACCACAGAATCCCAGACTCAGAAAATGGAGGTAGTGGGCGCTGTGGAAGGTGGTGGGTAAGAAAAGGGGTGTAAACAGGGACTGAGTCAAAGTCTGCACAGAGAGACCAGTTAGACCCATGGGTCCTCTCACCTACTCCATGCAATCCTGGGAGGAGAAGAAAGATGTATCCTACCAAAAAAAATTTAACCAGAAAGGTCCCCGGCCCTGGGACACTGGGTATAGTGAAAGGGGAAGGAGAAGTATTGTACTGAAAACAGAGATTAAGTAAAAGCATATATACTGAAAGGTGCATGACTCAGTTCCAAGGATGCTGCAGGCAGGCTAATTCCTCCGAGCAGAAGTCTGGAAGAGTCTTCTTGGAAAAAATGATTGGTCATCCTTGCCCTCCCCTAAAAGAAAGATCTACGGATACTGACTTTTGCGGACCTTTCAGTGAAATGTCCGGGTTCATGATTGACCACTCTAAAGTAAACCTGTGAGACCCAGCCATGCACACAGAGCTTCCAACCCATTTTTAGGGCATTACTCTTATATATGAATGAACTTACAGACATTTATATTAAAAAGGCTTCCAGCATAAAAGACATATGAATACAAGTGGGGAGAAAGGATTGGAAGAAATAGAGATATTGCAGGGAGCAAAATAAAACTTTTAAAAGCTATAATTATTAGTCCCAGAGAGAAAAGTCATGATATTCGTCCATGAAAGGAGCAATGAGAGCTTTTGGAAATTTTGAAATATGTTAGAAGAAATAAAAAGTTAAATAGAATTATTAGAAAATAAAATTGAGGAAATCTCTAAGCGAGTAGAATAAAAATGATAAAAGCAGAAAATAGGACAAAAAGAAAAGAAAGAAGTCCAATATTTAACTAGGACTAGACAGGAGTTTCTGGAAGAAAGAACAGAAAAAAATGTGGAAAAATCATAAAGAAATAATACAAGAATACTGCCTAGAACTGGAGTTTCGACATGGAAGGGCCCACTAGATGCCCAACACAAAAGATGGAAAGAACACTCACATCAAGGTGCATCTTTAGAAATTTCAAAACAGTGGAATAGAACTTTAAAAGCTCCAGAGTGGAAAAAATAGGTTGTGTTAAAAGATTCAGGAGTAAAAACGGTCTTAGACTTCTCAACAGCACCATTAAAACGCTTTCAAAATTCTGAGGAAAATTATTTCCAACCTAGAATTCTATACACAGCCAAAGTATCAATGAACTGTGAGAGTATAAGGGCATTTTCAGATATGTAGTCTTTAAAAAATTTCTTCCCATGCACCCTTTCCTAGGAAGCTACTGAAAGATGTGCTCCACCAAAATATAAACCATGAAAGAAGAGACAGATTTAGGAAATGAAGGACAGACAAAAGGAGGTCTATAGCCACTCTGTGCAGCTAGTTACTAGAATACTAGAGAGTTACTGGAGAGTTACTAGAGAGTACTAGGGAGTTACCAGAGAGAGCAGGGAAATGCAAGACTCAAGGAGGAAAGTGTCCAGGAAAAGAATGAAACTGATAGAAAATGGTTTATTTGACCATGTGGAAAATACTATTCAGGGAGTCTCACAATTCCACTGGAGAGTTGGGGGAAGAATAAGTGATAGTACAGAAAAGTAACAAAATAAAAAATGAGAAAAATTTTCAATCCCAGGAAAAACATTCCTACAACAAAAGAAGTGTCATAATATACCACTTTACTCAACAGTGAGTTAACACACAGCCATAATTAGGCAAATACTTTATATTGATTCAACAAAAAAAGTGTGCAATACCTATTCTGAGAGGATAGAGAAAAGAGAAGTGGGAGCTTTGGGTGATGTAAGAGGGTCATATATTCATCTTCCACAGTAGGAATCAATAGATGATATCTAAAATTAATAAATCAGGAATAGCAATAAACATATGCAGCAGGATATTAAAACATGATTCTTTGTTTTGGCCGAAGGCCCAAGAAAATAGGTGCCAACTATCACACATTCCAAAGCTAGACTACCTCTAAGCATGACTTAGAAAGAAGATGGCTAAAAAGCTGGTGTTGTAACCTAAGCCCTCACCCACTAACAGGGAATGAAAGAGCTAGAAGATGTTTCTGGAAAGAGTTGTCAGTGTACTGTGAGACCCCCACCACTTCAAGGAGACCGACCTTTCTGGCATCCTGACCTGCATTCCCTGGAGTCTGCATTCCCTGGAGTCTAGATATCTGATACTATACAGGACTGGGCATTTTTTCCCTAGTTTTTTTTTTTTTATAAACTCCAACTGTTTACATTTTGCCCCATTTTCTTTATAATGCTCATACGTGCTCTCATGCATTGCACATAGTTATCATGCCTCTTACCATGCCAGTCACCGTCCAGGTGATTGCAACTCATGGGGACCCCATGTGTCAGAGCAGAACTGCGATCTATAGAATTTTCAATTGCTGATTTTTCAGAAGCAGATTGCCAGGCCTTTCTTCTGAGGTACCTCTGGGTAGACCCAAAACTCCAACCTTTCCATTAGCAATTAGGAGCACAGTTTTACTCTGACACACATGGAGTTACCATGAGTAGAAATCAATCTGATGGCAACTGGTACCGGTATATGTCCATATATATTATTATCTATTTATCCATATAATTTTTAAACCATTTGATAATAAATTGTTTTCAAACTCCTACACCCCTAAATACTTCAGTGTGTATTACCCAAGAAAAAAGACATTCTCTTATGACAAAGTCTTCTTCTCAAGAACACAACGTCTTCTTCCCAAGCTGAAAGAACTGAAGAAAAAATTCAAGCCTCAAGTTGCAGTATTGAACGATTCTATGCACAAAATACTGAATGACACAGGAAGCATCAAAATAAGATGGAAGGAGAAAATAGAAAGTCTCAATAGACCCATAACAAGTGAAGAGATCAAATCAGTGATTAGAAACCTCCCACCCAAAATGTCCCAGACCAGATGGCTTCATTGGGGAATTCTACCAAACATTAGAGAAGAATTGACACCAATACTGTTTAAACTCTTCCGAAAGATAGAGAAGAAAGGAATACTCCCTAATTCATTCTATGAAGCAAACATAACCCTGATACTGAAACCAGACAAAGATGTCACAAAAAAAAGAAAACTACAGGCCAATATCTCTCATGAATATAGATGCAAAAATCCTCAATAAAATACTAGCAAATAAAATCCAACAGCATATTAAAGTCATACACCCTAACTAAGTGGGATTTATTCCAGGAACACAGGGATGGTTGAACATTAGAAAATCAATCAACGTAATACACCACACACCACATCAATAGAACAGAGGAAAAGAACCACATGATCATCTCTATGCATGCAGAAAAAAGCATTTGATAATATCCAACACCCCTTCTTGATGAAAACCCTAAAGAAGATTGGAATAGAAGGGAAATTCCTCAATATGATTCAGGGCATATACGAAAAGCCAAGAGCCAACATTATACTTAATGGAGAAAGACTGAGAACTTTCCCCTTGAAATTGGGAACAAGAAAAGGGTACCCACTCTCACCACTTCTATTCAATATCATATTAGAAGTCCTAGCCAGAGAAATAAGACAAGAAAAAGAAATAAAAGATATCCATATTGGAAAAGAAGAAGTAAAATTATCTCTATTTGCAGATGATATGATCTTACACATAGAAAATCCCAAAGAGTCCACAAGAAAACTTCTGGAGCTAACTGAGGAATTTAGCAAAGTTGCAGGGTACAAGGTCAACAAACAAAAATCAGTTGGGTTTCTATACACCAGCAATGAGAAATACGAAAGAGAAATTAGAGAAACAATTCCATTTACGACCGCATCTAAGAGAGTAAAATACCTACGAATAAGTCTAATCAGGGGCGTGAAGGCCTTATACAATAAAAACTATAAAACACTGCTGACAGAGATTAAAGGAGACTTAAAGAAATGGAAAGATGTTCCATGTTCATGGATT